TATTCTCCTCCCCGCTGCTCTACTTCCCCCTCCCACAGGCAGCAGCGCTGGCCATGCTGGGCGTGAAGGGCGCGCACAAGACAGAGCCAGGGCTGAATGCGCAGCAGCTGGTGCGCGTGGTGGCGGCAGCAGTGCCTTTAACCCCTTCTCTTCTCCCCTCCGCTCCCCCTCCCCCTCCTCCACGCGGCAGCACTGGCCCTGCTGCGCGTGAAGGGCGCGCAAGACACAACCAGGGGCAAACGCGCAGCAGCTGACGCAGCAGTTTCCTAACCCTCTCGTCCCCCCACGCTCCCCCACGCTTCCCCACGCTCCCACAGGCAGCAGCGCTGGCCCTGCTGGGAGTGAAGGGCGCGCACAAGACGGAGCCAGGAGCGAACGCGCAGCAGCTGGCGCGGGTGGTGGCGGCAGCAGTGCTGGCGGGGGAGCTCTCCCTCTGCTCCGCCCTCGCCTCTGGTCACCTCGTGCAGGCGCACCTCAAATACAACCGCTCTACCCTCAATGCCACTGCTGCTTCTGCTGCCATCACTGCTGCTGCTGCTGCTGCTGCTGTTGGTGCTGCCGCTGCTGCTCCTGCAGTCGCTTCTTTTGTTTCTGAAGCTGCTGGTGCTGGAGTTGCTGCTCCTGTTGCTGCTGCCTCAGCTGGTGCGGCGGTGTTCAGGGCAGTGGCGAGTGAGTCGGACTGCAGTGAGAGTGGTTCTAGAAGAGGCAGCAGTGGGTCACTTGAGGGGTTGTGTATGGCGGACAAGTGCTGAGCCCACTGGTGGTGTGGTGCCGATGCTGCTGCTGCCTGTAGTGTCAGCAGGGGAGGCTGTGTTCAGGGCTGTGGCGAGTGAGTCGGACTGCAGTGAGAGTGGGTCTAGAAGGGGCAGCAGTGAATCACTGGAGGGGCTGTGCATGGCATACAAGTGCTGAGCTCACCTCTGTTGCTGCTGGTGTGGTGGTGGTGCTGCTGTCGCTGCTGGTGTGATGGTGCTGCTGCTGTTGCTGCTGGTGTGGTGGTGGTGCTGTTGCTGCTGGCGGTGGTGGTGGTAGTTGCGGGTGGGGCTGTGTTGAGGGCTGTGGCGAGTGAGTCGGATTGCAGTGAGAGTGGGTCTAGGAGGGGCAGCAGTGAATCACTGAAGGGACTGTGTATGGCGGACAAGTGCTGAGCACACTGCTTCTGCTGCTGGCGGTGCTGCTGGTGCTGCTGGCGGTGCTGCTGGTGGGGCTGTGTATGGCGTACAAGTGCTGAGCTCGCTGCTGGTGCTGCTGGTGTGGGTGGTGGTACTGCCGCTGTTGCTGCTGGTGTGGTGCTGCTGTTGCTGTTGGCGGTGGTGGTGGTGCTGCTGCTGTTGCTGTTGGCGGTGGTGGTGGTGGTGCTGCTGTTGCTGCTGGCGGGGGTGGTGGTGGTGCTGCTGTTGCTGCTGGCGGTGGTGGTGGTGGTACTTGTGGGTGGGGCTGTGTATGGCGTACAAGTGCTGAGCTCGCTGCTGGTGCTGCTGGTGGTGCTGCTAATTATGCCAGTTGCAAGTGGTGCTGCTCTCTCAGCCGTTGCTGTTGCCTCATGTGACTCTATGGAGGGCAGCAGGTGCAGCATAGGGTGCAGGAGGGGCTGCTGTGACATCAAGGAGGGGTCCGCAGGTGCAGCAGCAGGAGTTGCAGCAGCAGGTGCAAGGATGGCAGGTGCAAGGATGGCAGGTGCAGGGGCAACAGCAGCAGCAGCAGCAGCAGCAGCAGCAAAAGCTGCAGCAATAGCAGCAGCTGCTGCAGTTTCAGCAAGAGGGGGCTTTTATGGGTTTCAGCAGGTGCAGCTGGGGTGGCAGCTGGGCTGGCAGTTGGGGGCGGCTGATCACAGCCATTGGCTCATCACGGCTGTGGGCTGATCACAGCCATTGGCTCATCACGGCTGTGGGCTGATCACAGCCATTGGCTCATCACGGCTGTGGGCTGATCACAGCCATTGGCTCATCACGGCTGTGGGCTGATCACAGCCATTGGCTCATCACGGCTGTGGGCTGATCACAGCCATTGGCTCATCACGGCTGTGGGTTGATCACAGCCATTGGCTCATCACGGCTGTGGGTTGATCACAGCCATTGGCTCATCACGGCTGTGGGTTGATCATTAATGCATAACCGTTCCAGCAGCACCGCCGAGTGAGTTTGTGTGAAACCGTTGGCTCACTCCAGCGTTACAGTGCTTGTAACGGGAACAGCTACAGTGCAATCTCGTTATAAGCATGCTGCTGAACCCGCCAACAGTTTCTCCCGGTGTGTATGTTGTTTGGCAGCAGCGCTCACACGCAGGCAGCACAGCATGCCCTGTCTGCTCCTCTGGTTCCACTGGAATGGTCCACGTAAAGCCATGCTCTGTGCGCTCAGCAAGTTCCGTGCTGACTGCTTCAGTCGGATGGGAGGCAATTCCACCATGGTATGGCTGGCACTGTACCACCATGGTATGGCTGGCACTGTACCACCATGGTATGGCTGGCACTGTACCACCATGGTATGGCTGGCACTGTACCACCATGGTATGGCTGGCACTGTACCACCATGGAATCGCTGGAGTATGACTAACGCTGTTGCGCTGTTCTGCGTGGGTTGTGGGTGCTATTTGCTTCGGTGGGCTGCTGCTTGTGCTTTGAGTCGACCCAAAACAGGCGGATGGGAGGCGGATGGGAGGTGATACTATGAGCCACCACGCCGTACGGGTGACACTGTTGCGCTGCTCTGCGTGCGCTGTGAGCGCTGCATTTAAACGTTTGGCGCTATTTCCGCTCGATTTGCTTTGGTGGGCTGCTGCGGGTGCTCTGGTGTGCTTCTGTCTGCTGTGTGTCTGCTCTTGCTGTGCTTTGGTGGGTGGGCTGTGTTGTGACTGCCTCGTGTGTACTCCCTCCCATGTGCTGGGAAAGCCGCAGTGGTGTCTTGACCTTGCAGCTGCTGTCTGCCCGTTGCGGTATGCTGCTCTTCGCTGTGTTATGGTGGGCAGCAGTGTGCCTATGCTGTCACTGCCTCCCTTCTGTGCGCTCTCATGTGTTGGGAAATGGCTCCAGGGGCGTGGTCTTCGCTCAAGCCAATCGCAGCCGTTGATCTTGATGTTAGAGCCCAGGGAGTAGTTGAGTAGTTTGATTTGATTAGGTGTCTGACAACTGACCTGCGATATTCAGTTACCGGTAGTTGCGTTAGGGCTGGAGCATGGTGTGGTAGGGTAGGCGAAGGGGGTAGAGCACAAGAAGGCTATTGCACTGTAGATTAGCGTAAGTTTTTTACCATTGCTTATGGATTGCCATTTTTATGTCTTAATCTGAACCTTTGAAGGAAGACAGGAGAAACTACACTGATCATTGACGGATGAAAGGAAATACCTAATTGATATTGTCATTACCATCAAGCACTTTTTGTCTTCAATATGCGTACACTAACGACTCCATCGAAACTGAATCCTTCCGAGGACTAGTGGGCGCAGTGAAGGATTTGATCGTGACATGACAACTGTGCCGTTTCAATGCGGTGGAAGATTCACGCTGCAGAATATGGTTAGATTCACTCATCGCCAGTGGTCATTCAACGAATCATTTGGGTCTTTCCTCGAGGAAATCTTGCCGCGCCACTGTCCTTGACATTATCCAACTCAGCGCCAGGTGGCTTCAAGTTCTAGATCCAAGGCTCGAATGGCTCGGCCAATGAGGTGCGGTGCTCACCCACGAAAAGTCGTTGATGACACCTCTTGCTACACTATACTTAGCAAGAGGTGTAATCGAGGATAGAAGATATGAGCAATCGTTTCTTTTCCCTCAAGCGAAGTGAATCTTTCGTCGAAGCTGCTGAAAGTACGTAAGCGAGGGACTCGGCTGATTTCGTGGTCAGAATTCTTCCTCATTCACGGCCTGCGTACGTACAGGTTGGCGGACGCGGCGAAAGGACGCCCCGACATTTTCGCGTTCGCGAACTCCCACGCCAGCCTGCTTGTGCACACGAGGCGAATAAATTCTGACAGGAGGCCACCTGTGGCCAGTCTGTCACAAGTTTCGCACAGGGAACAAATTCGCCCCCCTTTTCAATTTCCGAACCGAACAAATTCTAGTCCACCCACCTTCCCTCACGCCTACCCCCGCTCCCTTCACTCCCTTCCCCTGAACGAGCCAAGCCAATCAATCACTCATCCACGTGCATTTCCCCTACACCCGAGGCTGGCGCGCTCAGCGCCGAACCGAAGTTCCCAGAGACCTCGAACGCCGCACGCTGCTCTCCCTTCAGTTCCGAAATGATCCCCGCAAACAACCCTACCCCCGGATCCAAAGATCTTCCCACACCCCCAAAAAATCCTTCAACTACTCTCAGAATGTCTTGCATACCACGCTGCAACGTTTTGAATCCCTCTCAAGCTTGAGTTATGTTTTTGTGCCATCCCCCAAGCTGAAAATTTATCAGAAGCCAATAGACCGGCCCGGTGTGCCTTGATTGGTTGGCGCTCGTGTTACCGGAACAGTGAGGTGAAGTGAGTAAAGCTGAGGTGGAGGAACCGTGTCGTCCTTGTCACCTCAGACCTGCATTTGGCCACAGATTCAGCAGCCATTTTCTCCCCCCGCACCCGCTGCCATTGCAAGCAACTGCAATTGCAATTTCCGCCTCTCCCAGCGAAACGGGACAGGGCCGGAGGAGACCGCGGCTGTTTCCGCAGAAAGTCGGTCTTCCGCTCCAACGTCCCAGCAAGTAATTTCGCAAGTATTTACTGCACTTCAGTTCACGAGCAGATTCAAGTATCTGTTCCTGCCTTCCAAGTCAGCACTCCAGGTTGCTTCAGAAACTGCTAGCCACCGAAGCTAGCCCAGCTGACTAACAGGGTTCCTGACTGCATTTTGAGTACTAACTTGCACTCTCCGCTCTACCTACAAGAGGTTGTGCAAGATGATTCCCGGAGAGATTTCTCTCTGTCCGAGCTCCGGCTTTCCCATGGAGACGAACCAGAAGCTCGGTTCCAAGAGGCCTTGCGCAGACGCGTTCGACGCAGCAGACGACACCATGTTCTCCTTCGGTCAGACCGGAGACCTCTTTGATCGAGGGCTCGACCAACTAATGACGTACATGGGCGAAATGGGGGGGATTGCCGAGAAGGATAACAAAGCGCTCCCTAACGCGGACAGGCTTCTGCCGGATGATGTTCCCGAGGAGTCGGTTGGGGAGGGAGGTAGCCATGACAATTTCGGCATGTTCGACTCAAACCCGTTCGGTGCCGTGAATCTCGCTGCGTCGTTTCCGGAAGGCTCGTGCGAGCCGCAGCTAGTCCCGTGCGCTCAGAAGCCGGCTGCGACGACGACGACGACGAACGACGTCGCCGACTCAGTCGCAGACGGAGCGTTCGGATCGCCTGACGCGTTCAGCTCGCCGGACGGCTTCGCCTCGGAGGATTTCAATCTGTCGTTCGGGATGGATGACGTGGATGCGATGAACCAGCAGGACCTTCGTTACAATCTCATGCTCAGAGGAGCGGGCCTTGCAGGTACGCAGTGAAGAATAGCTATCCTACTCATTCTCATTTTCACTCTCGTGTCTCCCATACGTTCTTGCTCCTGTTTCCGTTTCCTGTTACCACGAAGATTTGTGGCTAACTCGTTATTTTCCTTTATTCTTTGTTTTTTCTGTAACGCAGAGCATTCTACCGCGGATGCTCCGTCTCATCCCAAGATGGAGTTCCCGGAGTACCCCGCGCATCACCCGATGAATCATCCGATGTATCCGCCGCACATGCCGCTCTACTATCCGGGAATGCCCACCATGCCGGTTCCCTACTACGGCATGCCGTACCCTCCCTTCGCGTACAACCCGTGGATGACTCCTTATTCCTCGCCCTTCATGCCTCCTCAACAGTAAGTATGCGTCGCGTAATCGTTCATTTACGAATTTGCTCAAGCGATGTCAGAGGTTTCTTTGTGCGGCCGACGGGAAGTCATGAGCCATGAACATCTATACTTCTCGAAAAGAACTCAAAAGCGGTGAATGGAAACTAACGATCGCTTTCTTTTTCTACTCTTCTGCAGTGCCATGCCTGGAACTAGCGCAATGCCCACCGACCCTGCAGCCATCGCGCGTCAGCGTCGCCTTGTCGCGGATTCCGTGCGCGGAAAGCGTCGACGACACGCACACAATGCCTCCTCGCAGCTCCCTTCCGCCGCATCTTCCGCCATGCCGTCCGTATCTGGTTACGGCCACCCTTTCCCATCCTCACCATCCATGCTCCCCTGGACCCACGTCAATCCCGAGGCTGCTGACTCAGTGAACACCGCTCCCCCTTCGCCGTTCGTTCCTGCTGCTCCCCTGCCGCCGTTCTCCCCCGCCGTCGTCCCGTCGTCTCCCAAAGCCGTCGCGTCTCCCGCACGGTGCGCCTCGCCTGTCCCCGCATCATCCCCCACTGCGGTGGGAAAAGGCGGCGCGGGGAAGGCTGCGGCGAAGAGTCCGCTGGGTAGATCTGCTCCTCCTGCTCCCGCTGCTGCTGCTGCTGCTGCTGCTGCTGCTGATGGCAAATCTCCTGCTGTGAAGTTCTCAGCTGAAGCGGATGTCGTTGCTGCTCCAGCCGCTACCCTGCCGGTTTCGCCTGTCCTTAAGATTGAAGAGGACGTGTTCGTTCCTACGGCTACCGCTCCCGTTATCCCCGCCATTGCCGCTCCTGCGGGCGGGCAGCAAGCTAAGGGAGGGAAGGCTGCGGCGAAGCAGCAGCGGGATGAGAGGCGCGTGAAGCGGCTGCTGCGGAACCGCGTGAGTGCGCAGCAGGCGCGGGAGCGGAAGAAGAATTATGTGTCGGAGTTGGAGCAGCGGTGCGAGACGGTTGAGAGGAGTAACGCGGAGATTGAGGGGGAGATTGCTGCGCTGATGGCGGAGAACGAGCGCCTGAGGCAGTCAATGCGGAGAGCCATCGGGGTCTGAGTTGGTACATTATTCCAGCAAATCCGTAAGGTGTACTCTGACTTACAACTTGTACAAATAATCTGAGCGGGACTGCAGCATGCATGATGGGAGTGCAACGGGAGTGAAGCTGGCTGGACCACAGGCGAAGGCTGTGGAGTTCGGAACCGTGGGATCTAGATGCTGAGGCACTTCTGGCGGATACAAATTGGGGAAATGGTGTCGGTAGACACTGGTGCTGGAGCAGAGGTGTCACGCTTCGGAGCAGTCTGATGGAATGCGTATTGAGGCTGATGCAGCTGCTTTCACATAGGAGATTTCTATGCTTGCGCATACCTTTTTGGATAAGCATGAGGGGTTAATGGCACTGTTAGCGCTTATGGAGTTGGACTCCAGTGCTTGCTGCTGGTTTGCTTGCAGGTCTTCTAGAGTAGGACACCAGATGAGTGAGGATCGGACCTTTCCAGTATGGTTTTTGAGGACAAGTCTGTGGTAGCAAGGTAATGAGTATACTAGATTAGGCAAATGTGGTAGCATGTACATACTCAAAAGTTATCATGTGCCCACTGTCAATCATTGTTAGTGTTCACCTGTGTTTTATCCCTGACTTTCAACACGTTTGGACGAAAGCAAGGCAGGAATTAGGTTGGTTTAATTGGGATGAAATTCACATATGTCAGTCTAACAAATTGTTCTAGTACGCATATAGACCGCTCTGCAGTGCAAAGCACCTCACGAAAACGCTTTCCTGACTACAACTTCGCTTCAAGCATCTTTACTGCAGTGCTGTGAGAAATTCTGGACTGGAGGACGTTGTTTTTGTCGTCACCCCGTTCAACCATTGTGCACCCAATTGAACCTTGGAAAGTTGATGACGTACGCACATGACCTGATGCAGCCAACCATGATGACAGACGAATACTGTTATGAATGAACTTGCAGAGTGCGCAGTAAAACGAATAACGTGAATGGAAATTACTGAATTACTGAATGACGATACAATGGAAGTGAAGAGGCCTAAATAGGGGAAGTCCTAGCTAGGCGGAGAGGTTGGGCGAGGATGGCTCGGTGATGGTTGCGATTGGTGCGGAGGCGACTCGGGAGTGGTTCGGTGCGACGAAATAGGAAGGGCAGGTTGGTCGCGTGACCCTCGGGATGGCCTCGCTAACGAGTGCCTCAGTAAGGATTTGTAAATCCTTACAAATACTACAATGTCACCGTACTGTAACGTTCTGCAAGGTGACGAACAGTGCTAACTTCGAAAGTTTGCCTCTGATCTAACCTCAGGACGCGGTGGAAGTGCTCGATCGGGGGTAGATCGATTCGATCACCGCACTGAACCCCGCATTTTGGACACGAAAGGTACACAACCTCACTGCGATTTTGGTGGCCATTTTCAAGCTAATTGCATCGCGTCGTAATCTGCGAGCACACATGAGGAGCGTTTAGTACGGACGGAAATGCCGCATCGTGATGATCAGTACTAGAACGAGTCACCGAGGTGATTGTGGTGGTCAAACCCTAGTCGAGAAAGATGGCGCCTCGGAGTGAAATTTACTAGGATTCGTTATCTAAGAACTCCTATTGCGAGAAGATGGGACCTCGTCGTAGGGCTGGTGTTGCAACGGACGTGGATTCGCCACGTGGCGCTGAACAGAAGGCGGATGCAAGCTCAGTAGATTCGAGACAGGTTCGACCCAAGTCCAGCGATGATGGTCGAGGCAAGCATAGCAGCGTCGCAGATCGTCGCCGAGCTGGTGGCATTGTGGTCGCGACAGCGGCGGCGTCGCGAGTAGTTATGCTGATACTGTTCTTCGCCTTCGACGCGATTCTAGAAGATTACGACACGTCAGCACGCATCTATTCCCCGTGTCGTCCGCGCCACGTATCCCCCGGAAATTCGTCTGCAGTAGACCGCACTCTGACACTCCTAGGAATTTCCCATGCCAGTAACGAAATATCTGACGAATCAACTCTCGTGACTGTCGCTACGGGTCGTATAGGCTTCGTTACCACATTTTCTCACGCGACTGAGTGGATCGTACGCCACTTCCCCCCTGAATTGTTTTCCACATCGCTAATTCAAAACTACCCAGGTAAATAACACCTCGCCCGCCATACCCCTGCTATCATTTACACCTGGTTTGACACGACTCACATATACACATTTTTCGTGTTTAAACCCAAAACCTTCAACCCCGAACCCTCTTCTCCCCCGGCAGCCCGCAACAGCATCGTACAGGGGAGAACATTCTGGTGGTGTGGGATTCGGTTCGGTCTTCGCCTTCCACCGCAATTCCCTCTGTGGCTGCATGACACCCCCTCCCCCCCACGCCAACAACCCCATACCCCACCCCACACACCCAATCCAGACCATAGCAGCATGGCACAGCGAACGTTGGAGGGCTTGGTGGTGTGGGATTTGGTTCGGTCTTCTTCCACCGCATTGCCCTCTGCGGCTACGAGTTTGAACATGCCCACGCCTTCTTCCCCACCCTGCCTTCCCCTATGATAACCCCTTTCCTCCTTGCCCCTCTGCCCCCCTAATCAGGTCATAACAGCACCGTAAATCAAGCATTAGAGAGCCTGGTGGTGTGGGATTCGGTTCGGTCTTCTTCCACCGCATTGCCCTCTGCGGCTACGAGTTTGAACATGCCCACCCCTTCTGTCCCCACCCTGCCTTTCCCTATGATAACCCCTTTCCTCCTCGCCCCTCTGCCCCCCCTAATCAGGTCATAACAGCACCGTACAGCAAGCATTAGAGAGTGTGGTGGTGTGGGATTCGGTATTTTTCCACCGCATTGCGCTCTGCGGTTACGAGTTTGAGCAGGCCTACGCTTTTTTCCCGCTCCTGCCCTTGCTCATGAGGCTCCTTGCCACTGTCACACCCTGTAAGGCCTACGCATTCTTGTCCTCCCTGCAGCAGCTTACTCCCTCTCCCTCTCTCCTCTCAATTCCTCCTCCCATGTCCTCCTCCCATTCTTGCCTCCTGTATTTTCTCCTCCGCTACTCCCTCCCCTTTCCTCTTCTTCGTTCGTCCTCCCTTGGCCTCCTACCCATCCTTCCTCTCTTTCCTCTCGCTCTGTTCCCTCAGTCCGTCTGCTTCTCCCCATCCTTGGAGCACCAGCCACGTTCGCCCTCGTGGGACTGCTGCTCTCCAATACCACTCTCGCTGCAGCAGCTTACTACCTCTCCTTCCCTCCTCTCCTTCCGCCCCCTGTCCTCCTAGTTGTGTGTTTTCAGTTCGTCCCCTTCTCCCCGTCCTTGGAGCACCAGCCACGTTCGCCCTCGTGGGACAGCTGCTCTCTAAAATGCTGCTTTCGTCGCAGCAGCTTACTGCCTCTCCTCCCCTGTCCTCCTGTCCTTGCTCCCTTCCCTTCTGTTCCCTCTCCCCTCAATCTTCTCAGTCCGTCTGCTTCTCCCCATCCTCGGAGCTTCAGCCACAATTGCCCTTGTGGGACTGCTCCTCTCAAATGCCGCTTTCGTTGCAGCAGCGTACTGCCTCTTCAGGTATTTTTAGTCGACTCAAAAGATGGATTTGGAGTCGACGGTTGAGTCGATTTTTTAGTCAACTCAAAAGCTTACTGTCTCTTCAGGTATTCTTCTCTATCGGATGAGGGCCAAGTGAGTGAGTGAGTGAGTGAGTGTGAGTGATCGATATCTGCCCTTGAGTCAACTCAGATCCTGGCCTTCAAGTGTGCTCTTCTTGATTGTGCTTCATGCCTTGTGCGGGCTGACAAAGTGTTTTGAGTCGATTCAAAACATGACAACGTGTGTTCTCTTCTCTGACATGTGCCGAGCCTCCTTTCTTCCCACTCAGGCGCTGCAGATTCTTGAAAGCACGCCTGCTGCTTCTGAGCTTCCTGCAAATCCATTTTCGAGTGTGCTCCTCTTGACCGTTCTGTGGATTCAAGTGCGCTCTTCTTGATCTCGTGCTTAATACCCTGTTCAAGCAGACAAAGTGTGTTCTCTTCTCTCTGACGGGTGCCTAACCTCCTCTCCTCCTGCTCAGGCGCTGCTCTTGAACTTCCTGCAAACCCGTTATTTTTTCTCTCTCTTTCTCTCTCTCTCTGCAGGCTGACCGAGTGTGTTCTCTCCGACACGCGCTTGGCCCTCCTCTCCTCCCTCTTCTTCTGCCTCACTCCCTCCTCCACTTTTTACTCTGCCATGTAAGTTGGGAGACTGGTTGTGTGTGTTTGTGTGAGAAAGAGGGAGAACGGGCATGCTGCGCCTGCTTGCCAGCTCTCCTCCCTCCCTCTTCTTCTGCATCACCCGCTCCTCCACTTTTTACTCTGCTATGTAAGTGAATGAGTCCACGGGAACGAGTCTGAGGAAGTGAGTGTGAGAGTGTGGGTGAGGGAGTGTGTGTTTGTGTGCGTGTGAGAGGGGGAGTGGGCATCCGTGAGAGGGTGGGGGAGAGAGAGTCAGGGGGAGGGGAGAGTGAGAGGGAGAGTGCATATTAGAGGGGGATATGTGTCTTTGCGTCCTTCTCTTTCCCACATCCCCCACCTCCCCAACCCACTTGTCCTGGCCGCACCACCTCATCCCAACTCACCCCACCCCACCCCATCCGACCCCACCACACCCCTACCTAAACCACCCCTCCCCTTGACCCCAACAGCTACTCCGAAAGCCTATTCGCTCTGCTCTCCTTTGCCGCCATGTGGCGCGTTGTGAGTGGCCGATGGTTCTTGGCATCCCTCCTCATCGCCCTCTCAGCAGCAGCTCGCTCTAATGGCGTCCTGCATGCGGGTTTCTTCCTCTTCTCACTGCTGCAGGTATGTGTACCATCTGCACACATGGTGCTACGTGCAAACTTGATAGATCCCTCATCGCCCTCTCATCACCAGCTCGCTCTAACGGGGTGCTGCACGCAGGTTTCTTCCTCTTCTCGCTGCTACAGGTACATGGTACGGTGGGTTTCGCATGGTGCATGGGGGTGCACATTGTGCGTTGTGAGAGGCCGATGATTTTCTGCATCCCTCCTCATCGCCCTCTCAGCAGCAGCACGCTCCAACGGCGTCTTGCACGCTGGCTTCTTCCTTCTCGCCTCACTTCAGGTACGTGGTGTGTTTTTGGCGGGGTTACAGGCCAGTAACCACCGCACACGCACATGGTATGGGAATGCCCAATCCTTAACTAATGGTGCCTTCAGCAGCACCTTTCTTTAAGGTGCTCTTGGCAAGACCTTGTTTCTTTGAATTGCTCTCAGCAGCACCTTTCTCTGAGGTTCCAATCCAATGGTGTCCTACACTCGGGCTTATTCCAATTCGCCTCCATGGAATCAACAGGAAGTTGGAAAAAGAGGGCAGCACAGCACACGTATCACGTCTCTCACTCCTCCTTGAGGCATCATTGCCCCTCGTCCTCCTTTTTCTGCCACTGCAGTTGCTGCAGCGGCTGTTCAATGCTGTTACGCCACAAGGGGATGAAGAGCTGCAAGGGATCTGGTTTTTGAGAATTCTCAAAAACCATTCTGAGAACTCTCAAAAACCATTCTGAGAATTCTCAAAAACCATTTTTGAGAACTCTCAAAGACTGGCACACGTCTCACAAGGTGTCGCTCTTCTCTTCCCTTCCCTCCACCCCTCCGCCCCCCCCCCCCTCAGACAGCAGGGTCCCTCATCCTGCCTCTCCTGCCACGGCAGCTGCTTCACCAGCTGTTCAGTGCAGCCAAGCAAGAGGGGAGGGAACCAAGAGAGCGGCACACATCTTACAAGTCAACAGAGAGGCAGGCAGACAGAAGAGCGTCAAGAACGGAGGTGACAGGCCAAATTGCGCCGTTTTTGGAAGGAAAGTGGCAGCTGTGCCGCACAAGGTGAGCTACTCTGTGTGTGTGTGTGTGTGTGTGTGTGTGTGTGTGTGTGTGTGTGCGTGCGTGCGTGCGTGCGTGCGTGCGAGCGTGCATGCGTGTGTGCGTGCGTGCGTGCGTGCATGTGTGTGGGTGAGTGTTTCTCCTTTTTTAAGCACCATTTTGTTCCCTTTCTTCCCCAGCACCCACTTCCACACTACACCCCACTTCCTCCCTGTTACCTCTCCCTCCCTTCCCCTTCGTTTCCCCTCATAATTTATTTCGCACCCAAATTCCTCCCCATTCTCCCTCCCCACATCCTTCTGCTGCGTCCTTTCCCTTTTCCCTCCTTCCACTTCCTCTCCTTTTCCCTCTTCCTTTCGCTCCAAACCTTCACCCTTTCACGCAAAAAACTTTGTTTTCCCTTTGTTGCTCCCCCCTGCCCTCCCCCCTCTTTCACCCCTCCCTCCCCTTCTCCCTCCCCCCCACCCCCTCCCCTTCTTCCCCCCCTCAGGCTCCTCCCCATCCTCCTCTCCACCGCCCTCTGCTGCCTTCTCTCCTTCTCTCTCCTCGTCTCCCTTCAAGCCTTCGCATTCACCCAGTTCTGCCTCCCTGCTGCAAGCACCAAAAGCAACCTGGACACTGAAACCCCTCAAGACGTCCCCCCTTGGTGCCTGGACTCGGTTCCCTACATCTACGGCTATGTGCAGCGCAAGTACTGGTGAGAGAGAAAGAGACACCCTTCACTTGACTTTCTGAGACAGGACGACCCTAGCTGTCTCCCCCCGGTGCCGCGACTCCCTTCCCTACATCTACAGCTATGTGCAGGGAAAGTACTGGTGAGTAGCATTTGACACAGCTTTTGAGGCGCCTCAAATCTGGTTCTTATACCCCACGATATGAGGTGCCTCATAAGTAATTACCCACAGCTTCAGGTGGTTCAGTCACCCCTTGGTGCGTCAATTTGGTTCCACACATGGGGTGGGTGAACCACCTGAAGCTGTGGGTAATCACGGCCATGTGCAACGCATGTACTGGTGAGGCACAACGGATGCATTCGCTTCCTGCCCTCCCGCTCTCCCTGCCCCCCCCCCCCCCCCCCCCCCCCCCCCCCCCCCCTTCTGATGCTTTTTATCCGTTTGCTGAAGCAATTAGTGACTAGCAAACAGAAAGCACCACTCCTTGTCCCTTCTGCCCCCTACCCCCTGCAGGGACGAGGAGGTTTTTTTTTTTTTTTTTTTTTTTTTTTTGTTTTGTTTTGTTTTGTTTTTTTTTTTCATTTTGATTCCTTCCAGCTGAAGCAGCTCCCCAACTTCCTCCTAGCAGCACCCACCCTCCTCCTCGCCCTCTCCGCCATCCTATCCTTTGCACTCACCCGCCCCCTCCTCTCCTTGTCGCCCCTCTCTGCCCGCCCCCTATCTCCCTGCAGGGATGTCGGATTTCTTCGCTACTTCCAGCTGAAGCAGCTCCCCAACTTCCTCCTAGCAGCACCCACTCTCCTCCTCTCCCTCTCCGCCATTCTATCCTTCGCTCACACCCGCCCCCTCCTCTTCCTCTCTCTTGGATTCATCTCCTCTCCCTCCGATCACCATTGCCTTCTCTTCCTTCCACCCTCCAACCACTCAAAAGCACGGGAGCAGGAGGAGGAAGGGGAGGAAGAAGGGGAGGAAGAAAGGGAGGAAGAAGGGGAGGTGGAGTGGAGAAAATGTGACCACTGGTGTAGATCCAGGGGTTTTTATTCCGCTGCTGCTCTTCCATTCTTGCTGCAGCTGCTGTTCATGACAGCAGTGGCAACGTTGGTGATGCATGTACAGGTGAGATATAATTCCCACAGCCCCAACCTCAGGATTCCTTTTCTTGTGAGTTTCAGATGGCCACTCATTCTCCTCCTCACCTCCCCTCTACTGGTTCCTGTCCCATCTCCCCACATATGCAAATACCTTTTTTATTTTTTTACATAGGACCCAGGGGATTCTCTACAAATTACAAATCCCGCGAAAAACGCTAGGGTGATCATTACAGCGGCAACACTTTTTTAAGACCTGTTATATCTAATTTTCATTTATTAACTTGAGAAGTACCGTGTACAATTGAATTTGGGGGGGGAGGGGGGGGGGGGGGAGGAGGAGGAGGGGGGGGAGGAGGAGGAGGGGGGGGGGGAGGAGGAGGAGGGAGGGGGGGGGTCTTGTATTTGTACTGATGAAAACCACCGATGTGTGTACAACTCGTGCAACTGGCGCGTCAGATCAAATCTCTGACGCGGTGGATGTGTCAAATTTCAAGTCTGGCACAAAAACCGCATCAGAATTCAAATCAGCTCACCCTGAAAGCTGACGCACTGGATATTTTCATATACTGCATGCAACAAAAGGGGGGTCCTTCAATTGTCAATAGCAAAAGGGGCGCCTCTAAAATACCTGCCAAAATAAGAGTCTCATCTCCGCGAACAATTCTCGGGAGACTCTCTTTCCGGAAGTTTCTATGTACGGGAGAATACGTTACCAATCAGTCTCAGTCTGTCCTCCCACCCAACCCCCCACCCTCCTTTCCCCCCTCCCCTCGCCACACCTCACAACCCCCTCCCCTCTGAGCTACAGGTGGCGACTCGCTTTCTCTCCTCCTCACCTCCTCTTTACTGGTTCCTGGCCCATCTCTTCACATTGGCACACACCGTGCCAAGCATTCTCTGTCTGTCCCTCCCCTCCCTGCCTCCCTCTTCCCTCCTACCACCGCTCTCCCCTTGTGAGTTTCAGGTGGCGACTCGCTTTCTCTCCTCCTCACCTCCTCTCTACTGGTTCCTTGCCCATCTCCTCACATCGGCAAATAGCACGCTCTCTAAATCCGCCCGCCTATCTTCTACGAATGAGGATCACAGGTGGGAGTTGTTTATGATAAGGGCATGGGTCGGTGCATCATTAGGTTATGCAGTGATTGGCTCCTTGCTTTTCATCAACTTCTATCCCTTCACCTAGGTTTGTTTCCGAGCAGTTGTCTGGCATGACACAGGCAGGTGAGGCGACTTTTGAGTTGACTCAAATGTCAACTTTTATCCCCTCACTTAGGTTTGTTTCCGAGCAGTTTTCTGGCTTGACACTGGCAGTCACCCGGTTTGCCTTTTGAGGCGCCTCAAAACGTTTTCTGGGATGACACAGGCAGGCACACAGAGTATAGCATATATAGAAAAAGCGATACATGAAGGGGAAAAGTAGGCAGAGAAACCCGAGTGCTAATAAATACTGACTAGTCCAGGATCAAGCACCCACAAGTACAGAGCCTTTCTCCATTATTTTGCAGTTTAGATTGTGATGTGTGGTTATGTGAGCGGAGTGAAAGCAGGTTATGTGAGAAGGGAGGAGGCTTATGTGAGGATAATGAGGAGATAATGTTGGAGGAATCAAGGGTTATGTAAGGAGTGAGATGGGTTGTCATGCAAGACGAGGAGTACGGAGGTCATGCGGGTGGACGGGAGTTATGTGAGAGGAGGGAAGGGGGTCATACGAGAGGAGGAAAAGGGGTCATGCGAGAGGAGGGTCTGCTTTTGAGTCGACTCAAAGGAAAGGAGTTATGTGAGAAGAGGGAAGGGGGTCATGCGAGAGGAGGGGAGGGGGTCATGCGAGAGGAGGAAAGGGGGTCATGCGAGAAGATAGAAAAAGGTTATGTGAGAGGAGGTACTAGATGATAGAAAAGAAGGATGGAGGAGAGAAGGGGGGTCATGTGATAAAAGGAAGATCATGTGAGAAGAGACGTACTCAGCTCAGCGTCTGCCCCTGACCACCTTCTGTTAGCCACAGAAGTCAAGAGATTAAAGACGTAGGAGCTCCATGCCATGGCCGGAAGGAGCGTGGCTGATGTCAGCTTGCTTTACACCCTTAGGACCCCCTCAGGACCCCATTAGGACCCCACTAGGACCCCATTAGGACCCTCCGGACCCTTCGGACCCTCAGGACCTTTAGGACCCTTAGGACCCTTAGGACCCTCAGGGTTGCGCCTCCTCCGTTAGTGCCGACTCAAAGACCATTAGGATGGTGTACCAGCAGTCATGGATTGTCAGTTGATTTTTTAGATGCCTCAAAGAAGTCAGCTTGCTCAGGACCCTGCCGCCTGAAATGCGGCATTTCCTCTGTTAGACCCGACTCGCACGATGAATCGGTAGTCATGGATTGTCCGCTGGATTCAGCTGCTTGGAACTTTCTCATCAGGTCTCGCTTCACTGTAGAGTACATGCTGATCCGACGGCCGATGGGACTCGCCAGCTTCATTGGAGCTCCAGGACAGGATCTCGACCGTTGATGGTGGGACTTGTTGATTGGTGTGTTAGTCGTCAAACCAATGTCTGAAACGAAAACAAGAAGCTGTGTCAAAGATTAACATGTATGAAAGAAAGATGATATTACTAAACGTTTAATTAATGATAAATGATTAAAACGCGTACTTAATGAGTACGTCGTAGTAAAGGCACTACTATCTTCGCTTCGACGCTGGCTCTGAGTCGTCGGCTGGCTCGATTCCCGACTCAGGAAATAATCCATGTTCGCCGGTATAAGAGAAATTTCCAGCTTCTGCTTCATCGTCGTCCGAAGCCGCTTTGGAGCTGAATCACGAAGAAGATGCAGAGAATGGCTCCTGCGGCAGGAGACAACTTCCCAAAGAACGGAACTGAATCACGAAGAAGTAAAGGTCGACTCAACATTCTGCCGCGCGTATCCTTCAGGGTCATGTCACAGCTGGCACCGAGCTACTACTTGTACGGTGGCTCTCCGCCGCATCTCTAGTAAAGCTCTCGTTACCGCACGGAAGGAGATTGAGGGGGATTCCTTACAGAATAGTCCAACATTGAATTGGGCCCAAGATATCTCGCATGTTCGCCATGCCTGAGCACCTATGTTAGGGGGTCTTTAGCGTACAGATAGTACCACAAAACCCGAGTACAGAAAATTCAGCATTAAGCAGGAAATCACGTGACACGAAACCTAAAGACATACACAGACGAATGTCGTGAAAATTCCGGAGCTGGCCACTGAATTTAGAACTGCTGTTCCTCCACGTTGGCTGTTCTAGTGCTTATGCTCTGTATTCACGCTTATTCCTACCGATTTGTGTAATTTGCGGGCGTGAAATCCTACAAAAAAAATCGCAGCCATAAGTAGAAAATGAGCTCCGTTATAAATATGTAACAGTAAACGGTCAAACGTTAACAAACACCAGAACTGTACAAGAAGGAAGCAGACAACTGTTCTACTGTGAGAACAAAGAGAGTCCTTCAGATTTCACACAGTTGTCCCTAAGTATAGTACACCCTCATTCTCACCTCTATCACCGTCGCGCGCACTGTGTACAGTGCTCGGAGCTGGCGCGATGGTGCCCTTAGCCATTTCCCAGGCAAATGTCCAGGTTGAGACAAAACAGGGGGGAGGTGGCAGAATCCTTTGTAGCACATTCCCCAAGAACCACAGGTGGCACGAATCATCGGAAGTCAACATCACAATGTAGTGGGTATCGGTTTGGTCTTATTTTTGACCAAAATCGGTCTCTCTAACTTAAATTGGATCTTTTTTGGACCTTTTTTGGTGCCTGATTTAGGACCAATTTTGGTGTGGCTGCAAACCTGAAATTGGGCCTAGAACTAGGGGAAATTCGGCCAAAATTTGTTAGACCAAGATTTCCCACACAAAAAACCAAAATTGGTCCAATTTTATTCTAATTATGGCACCACAAGTCACTCCCATCGCACCTGCAAATTGAGTTATTATTTGTACTAAAGGTATTTTGGGAAAATATATATATTAAAATTCCTGCATACAATAATGACTACTACACTACATGACACTACACTCAGCTTAATGAACACTTCAGGACTCCATCTCTACATGGTTGCTCCCAACTCACTACTTGCTGCTGCCCCTAGATCCAAGTACAGCCCGAGTTCCGCCTACTCTCCTAGCTCCATTTGAAGCTACTGCTTTCCTGTTACCACCTTTACTCCACCCCGATTGCTCCTCATGGTGCAACTAGCTCCCCACCCTAATTGCTCCTCATGCTGCAACTAGCTCCCCACCCCTATTGCTCCTCATGCTGCAACTAGCTCCCCACCCCAATTGCTCCAGGGACAGTGCTGCCAACATCACCCCATCTCAACTGCTCCACGTGCTGCCAACATCACCCCATCTCAACTGCTCCACGTGCTGCCAACATCACCCCATCTCAACTGCTCCACGTCCTGCCAACATCACCCCATCTCAACTGCTCCACGTGCTGCCAACATCACCCCATCTCAACTGCTCAACGTGCTGCCAACCTCACTCTAACATACCGTCACCCCCCGGATATACCCCCATGGGGGGCAATAATAAAACAGGTTTTTTCAAGGGGGTGGGCTTATAATCGAGTAAATTTATAAGCGCCGGCGTTTATAAAATGACATTCATATTTTTTATATTGTTTAACACCAAACTGTAGGTCTCGTGCTTGCCCTTTCAATCGAGTCGAATTTACATGGGGTCGTCTGTGAAATTCTCGCGCGCGCTGGGAGACACACCCAATCTGACTCACATCCAGCTCCTGACAGCTCCTGCTGACTGGACCCGCATCCAGTGCAGGGTCCGAATGTGAAGGGAACCGAATCTGCAACATATCTGCCTGCTAAAGTAAAAATCATTACAACGTTTTGTACACATTTCAAATTTTAAAGTTTACGTGCGCTTATAATAAAACTAGTTTTTTCAGGGGGTGCGCTTATAATCGAGGAGGGGATATAAGCGCCATATGCCAATTAGAAGCGCCAGGCGCTTATCCTAGGGTGGCGCTTATATCCGGGGGGTGACGGTAACTACTCCACGTACTACCAACATCACACTATCCCAATTGCTCCACGTGCTGCCAACATCAACCCATCCTAACTGCTCCACGTGCTGCCAACATCATACCATCTCAACCGCTATACGTGCTGCCAACATCACCCCATCCCAATTGCTCCACGTGCTGCCAAAACTACTCCACCCCAACTGCGCCACGTACTGCTAACATCACACTATTCAAATTGCTCCACGTGCTGCCAAAATCATCCCATCCTACCTGCTCCACTTTTGTCTCTCAACTTGCACCTCATGCAACTTATTCTTCCGACCACTGTCAGCCGCACTTATTCTTCCAACTGCTGTCAGCTGCACTTAATACTTCCAACTACTGTCAGCTGCACTTATTGCTTCCCACAGTTGTCAGCTGCACTTATTGCTACAAACTAGTGTCAACTGAACTTATTGCTTCCCACTGCTGTCAGCTGCACTAATTGCTTCCATCTACTGTCAGCTGCACTTATTGCTTCCCAGTGCTGTCAGCTGCACTAATTGCTTCCAACTACTGTCAGCTGCACTAATTGCTTCCAGCTACTGTCAGCTGCACGTATTGCTACAAACTACTGTCAGCTGCACTTATTGCTACAAACTACCGTCAGCTGCACTTATTGCTTCCATACCTCAGTCAGCTGCACTTATTGCTACAAACTACTGTCAGCTGCACTTATTGCTTCCCACTGCTGTCAGCTGCACTTATTGCTTCCCACTACTGTCAGCCGCACTTATTCCTTAGACTACTGTCAGCTGCACTTAAATCAGGAGCCCTTCATATCGCTTTGACTGTTGCCCAACCGCCCTTCTTGGTCCCAACCACGCTTTCCCGGAGCTACAAGAGGGGGGACAACCTGCACTTAGAACATACACCAAAAGGATTTTGGACAACTGATGGCACGCTAATGGCACAGATACGCGAACACAAAACTTACTAAATGACAAAACACACAAGTTGTTCAAATATTCTTTGAGTTGAACACCCAACCATTCGCGTAACTCACCCTGATCTGTCGCACAATCGAGCCGCAGTCGGATGCATCGATGTACACTTCGTTTGGGAAAACAAACGCGTCCATTGTCCTGTCGTATGCCACCCCATGATCGATCACAGCATGCTCGACCCATCT